CTTTTGATATGTCTTCAAATCTTTCAAAATCATTCCTCAAAGTGGTCTGCTGATGATTGACAGAGGTCTGCACATGTTTTCAAATCCAATTCTTTTTCTTGGAGAGCTTGACTTGTGTGGTCAAAGTGTTGTAAAATTTCATTCCACATGGTCAACATGAACACAAACTCTAGTTCTTGCATCTTGCTTGCAATGTTTTCTGCCTCTCGTATAGTTTCTCCCTTCTGTGATTGGTCTTCAGCTAGACTTTCTAACGCATTCACAATCTTTGAGTAGGACTCCAGAATTGCACTTGTTGCCACTGCATGTGCCTCCCAGCGAGTATTAGAAAGAGATTTCAACACACAATCATTGCCCAGATATGTTTTAAGGACTGCCCATTGGTGTGTTGAGGCGGAGAAAAATGTATAAAGTAACTGGACTGTTGAGAAAAAACTTACTGCCACCGGACAAGAATCAACAGCACTGCGGCCAACAAGATTGAGAGAGTGTGCAGCAGCTGGTATGAATATGGCATATTTGTTCTGTTCTAAAAGCTTCTTCTGCATTCCTTGATAACGCCCTGACGTGTTGGCCGTGTTGTCATAAGATTGACCTCTGCACTTTGAGAAATCTATTTTGCAAACTTGGCACAGATAATGCAGTACTTGATTTGCCATTTCTTCACCAGTGTGGCTTTTCAAATTGAGGAATGTTATAAATCGTTCAGCTGGTTTTCCATCTGTGGGAGACACATATCTTTGTACAATACTCAATTCATCAATATCTGAAAGATCAGGCTTAGAGTCGACAGATAAACCAAAGTACCCAGCAGTATTTATTTCATCCACAATAGCTCAACGAACTTAATCACTCATGAGACCAATGAGTTCATCACATATTGTCTTGGATAAGTATGATGGGTTACCTTTGCCAGCCTTCCCATATTTTGAAATATGGCCTGCCAAAAATGGGTCAAACTGAGCCACAAGCTCCAACAATCCCAAGAAATTTCCATTCTGCAATGACCAAATGTGTCATTTGATCCCCGGAAAGGCAGACCACATTCAGCTAATGTTTGAATAACAGCTATAACACACTGCAAGACATGTTGCCAGTATTCATGCTCCCCTTTAATTTGTTCTTCAAATTTTTGTGTCAATCCAAAGCCCTGTCTTCGATTTAAATATGTCAACATTGAATCTCTGTGAGTAGTGCTATTTTCATGTTGTTCAATTAAAACAGTATTCCACCAGTCACTAAATCCATCTGCAGCAAACTGGGATGTTGAAGTTTTATGTGCAAAAAGTTTGCAAACAAAACAGTACACAGACCCTGTTGATGGTGAATACATTAGCCATTCTCAAGTGTATTTCTCACCATTTGCTTTCATGCTGAAAAATATTTTTTGTGGACAATATCTTGTTTGTTTGTCATAGGTAAAACTCCCATGTGATTTCTCAAATGGCCCAGTGTGGTGTTGCCAGTCATTTGGTCCACGATCTACCCAGTAAGCTACATCATCGGTACTGAAATCAACCCACATATCAGGATCTTTTCTCCTATTATTTACAGCACGAGCAGTTCAGTCTCTGACACATCCACCCCTTCTAGAACAATGTCCGTTTTACCACCAGAAGTAGGATGATCAGTTACAGTCTTTGACACATCCACATGTTCTGGAATGGTGTTTGTTTCACCAATAGAGGAAGGGTCAGTCTCTGAAACACCTACAGGTTTTGGAACGATGTCTGTGCTATTGAGAGAAGATGTTGCTTCTGATGGATTCGCTTTGAAAAATGATGTCAGCTTTGGAAGATTTTGGAAAATTTCACTAGTTTTTGTTTTTTTCTTCCACTAGATTATGTTTCTGTGCTCCACTCGGCTGGTTACATTTCATCCTGCCCCTTATCTCAGTTATCTGAACTTAAAAAAAAAAGAAATTACACAACGTACACTATTTTTATGTATATATATATAATATATATATATAAGAAAGAAAAAAGCGAATCAAGTACGTATAACTCAGAAGAATATATCAATAATAAACCATAAATTTATTACAATACATGACAGAATCTGATTTCCTCGCATTATTTTGATCTATGTTAGGAGGATGCCTCCCTGGTTTAGGTGGGGATAAGTAATAAAAAGAGAACAGAAAAACGGGGGAAGAGTGTGGAGTGGAGTGTAAGGAAGTCTAACAAAGTTCTGATTTTTCCCATGATGAATACTTTGATGCGTTTTCTGAAATATCAAACATCAAATTTTTTCCAAAAATAAAATCTCTTATTTTTGGTGCCCCCCGCTTTGCTAGTGCCCTAAGCACCTGCTTAGTCTGACAATTGGGTAATCCAGCCCTGGGCAGGGGGCAGCTTCCCCAGATCAGTAATTTATAAGGGTCCTGGGCTCCCGGCAGTGGCCAGAGCCCCTGGCCCTTTAAGTCACTGCCAGAGCCCGGCTGTCAGAGCCCGGGATAGCGGCAGCAGCCAGAAGCCTGGGGCCTTTAAATCACCACTGGAGCCCTGCTGCTGGAGCCCTAGGGTAGCAGTGGCGATTTAAAGGGAATGGGAATTTATAGGCCACGCCCCTTCCATGTGAGACCCCATCCCCTCTGGTTGAGGCTCCCCTCCCCTGCTCAGGACCCCAGCCCTGTGTACCAGAAAGTCCCTTAAGTTACTTTCACCCCTGAGTGCAGGTCACTTTCGGATTGGGCTGCATCAGCTTTGCCAAGAAGAAGAACCAGGTCACCCCATCCAACAGCAAATGTATAAAACTCCCAGTGTTGTTCAACTTGTTGCTCCTTCAAGTTGAAACAGCTGGATGAGAGAGACTGTGAGCAGGACTGTCGTCTCCTGGCCAGTGACTGCACCTCCTGCTTGGTCACAACTAAGGGCATGACCACGCGGCAAACTTACGTCGATATACCACCACTGCAGTAATTGCTGCACTTTTTTTATGTCCCCACTACCCTCCTTCTGTCTGTGGGGCACGTCCTTACCAGGAGAACTTGCTCTCAGTTAAGAGGGGGAGTGTGGAGGTCTGAGAGCATCGGATTCTCACCTCCAGAGGGAGCTCCCTGCTGGGAACCCGTCTGCCGCCAACGTTCCCGGATCCCCATTCCCAGGCCAGCTGCTTCCCGGGCTCCCAGCTCCCTGCTCCAAGCCCAGCTGCTGCCTAGACTCCTTGCTCCACGCTGGCTGCCATCTGGGGAACAGGGAGCCAGGAGCCCAGGGAGCAGAGCACCGAGGGCCCAGACAGCAGCTGGGCTCCCAGTGTGGAGTCAGGAGCCTGGGTGGCAGCCTGGCCATGAGCAGGGAGTTAGGAGCCTGGGTGGCAGCCTGGCTCAGTGTGGGGAGCAGGGAACCCGGGCAGCAGCCTGGTTCAGAGCAGGGAGCCCAGGCGACAGCTGGGCTCCTGATGAAGCCCCACACCTGCCGTGGGGTGACAGCCTAAGTTGTGAGCTGGGCTTTGGATTTACAGCAAGGAGCCGACCAGCCTTTCTTGTCAAAGCTGTCAGATTGACAAGAATGACAGCCAACAGCGGATGTAAGGAACACAGTGCTTCACAGACTCTGCATCGCCCTAACGACACCAACATAAGGCCTACGCCTCTCCTGGAGGTGAAGTTATGAGGTCAGTGTAGTAGGGCACGTACGCTGGTGGGAGCAAGGCTGTCGTCTGTACACTGACAGAATTAGTTTGCCATACGCTCATAGGCGCCAATTCCGTGGGTGCTCCGGGCCTGGAGTATCCATGGAAAAAAATATAGCAGGTGCTCAGCACCCACCGGCAGCCTCCGATCAGCTCCTCCCCATCCCCCCAACCCTCCCGCTTGCTGTGGATCAGCTGTTCAGTGGCGTGCAGCAGGCACTGGGGGAGCAGTAGAGGTGGTACAGGGGTGGAGGAAGAGGCCGGGCGAGGGTTTGGGAGAAAGGGTGGAGTGGGGGTCGAGCACCCCCCGGGAACTCAGGATGTCAGGCCACTGCATAAGCCGCCTTACATGGAGCCTAACTCTGTCGTGTAGGCCAGGCCTAAGTCATATCACTGACTTCGCTTGTGCAATTACTCTTATTGAGCCTTGTATGCTGTCTAATGACACTAACAAGGGTTTTTTCCCCACACCACACACACCTCTTTGTTAGTTGTATACCACAAAAAAGACATCTTTTATTGGAAAGCCTGAAAGAGAGAGACCTGAGTATCAATTCACTTATTCTGATAAACTACATGGAGATTTCTGTTCCAACTCAAATACTGTAAGAGACATATGAGGTGAAATCCTCTAGAAGGTCATTTTACTCCAATTTCTTTGTCTCTCTGCTCTCTGTTGGAAGGACGTAGCCAATGTGCTCCACTGGCACGTATGTGGCATGATGTCACTGACTGACAGGTTTGGGATCTTATAAAATATAGGAGCCAAAAATAAAATTATCAAAGAAAACTCTTGAGAGGAAAGAAATTTCCTCTCCTTCCCTCCAATTTTGCTGAACTTATGTTACTAGACAAGAAGGGACGGGGAGAAACATATGAAACAGGGAAATATGAGAGAGAGAATCAGAAATAATAAGATGGTGTGAACAAAATTCCAGACACAAACTTAACTGAACTGCAGCCTCGTTCCTCTGGTTGTGCACAAGGACTAAGTCGTCGCTCATAGAAAGCACTGGACTACGTGGTGAGCTCCTTGAGTAGCTCTGACTTTAAGTGCCCATTGACATGGGTTCTGTAACGTTAGATAATTCGTGAAGCAATACTGGTGCCTAACCAGACACTTTATACAAGTAAAGAACCCAAATACAACGTATTACACAGCACTTTTACCTGCCAAAGATATTCTGTTCTCATGCCAGTCCCTAAAAGTGCCATTTCTATGCTGTCATTCACTTTGCTGTTTTTCTTAATATACATTTTGCTATCAAAAGGGATCTGTTTTGTTTATGTTGTCCTGAAAGTTTTGTCCTGAAGGATAGATGACACCAAAATAAAAAGGATATAAAATTAAATTTTCTAACCTGCAGATTCTTGACATCTGAGTGAAATGGAGTTAACAATGGAGCCATCAGAAGAATTTTTGTTCCAACATAAAGGAATTTATTTCCATCCAAACTTTGCTACACCTGAATACATAGATTCACTGGAGGATTTTGAAATCAGAGACAGTGATGTATTTGTAGTTACTTATCCAAAATCAGGTAAGACTGATTGCTTGATTCCCTTTAGGAAAATCATATCTGATTTTTGTCTGAAACCTTTATTGACCTTCCCCGCCTCTTCTGCCAAGCTTATTGACCACCATTATGACCTATTTTTGGTGGTAGCAGTTTAAAATCTATTAACTGCCAATAGTTTATTGGAGACATTATCTCAGTTGCATCCCTATGTTTAAGGCAATGGCAGAAGGTTAAAGCTTTAGAGGTAATCTGCAAAGTATATCTGAACTGGGCAAATATTGCCCAAAGCTTTGCCCAAATATGTATTATAATAAACTGCATCTATTTCTTTCTGTAGTCGACCACTATTTTTATTCTCCTTTGTGTAAACCTTTATGTCAGCAATATTTTGGAAACAATAAGTTCATGGAAAGGGAAGGTGGTGTGAGTGCTCAGACTAATGAATTTAGACACAAATACAAAACCTCAGACTCCCCTGAGACAGCCATCTTCTAAACACCCTCCCTCCCCAGATTGATCCCAGGCCTGTCACAGAGTATTCAAGCTGAACTACCAACTACCTGTACTCAGGTGATCAGCATTTTTGTTCTCAGACTTCGCAGTGATATATTTTCTTCAAACAAGAATAGCACCTCTTCCTGCCTATGAGGTTTGAGAATTACTTGCAGCTGAAGAGTTATAATATAGCAGAACCAACTCCTCTGTGAGGAGCTTAGAGAGAAGGACTCTATACCCCATTGGATACTAAACATTGTAACACAGCTTTTGGCATGTCCAGTTCTGGTCACTAAAGTACCCTTGGCCCTTCTTAGTAGAGAATTCCCTGTATTGCTGACAGGTCATGTAACATGCACAGACAGGACAGACCGTGTGAGCCTTCTGCATGAGCCCTGAAGTAGCACCGGTGCTCTTCCACTGCGGGAGTGGAATAGGGGTACGTATAAACTCTCAGAACAACAGTATACAGGGTGCTTTGGATAGGGCCAGTGAATCCACTGGTTATTACTGGAATGGACAGTCATGCCGCAGCACTGAGGCTACATCAGAGGGAGAAAAACTGTGTGTCGTAATCACCGTTTCCATGGGGAACCTGAATAGCCTAGGTAAAAATATTTGAAGATTTAGTTATTGACCAGCACATAGATAGATACAGGATTTTTTATACTAAAATGTACAAAAATATAATGCTGTTTGGATTCCCACCCCTGCTGCATTAATGGATTCCCTTGAAGACACATTTTTGTACTTCATTTATAAAGTAGAATGAGACACAGTTTTGACGAGATTGTGATTATGGCAGATTATTACGTGACATTACAAATCAAATTAGCATCAAAGCTGTTTCAAAGAAGGCTATTTTCTTTCCCAGGGACTGTGTGGACTCAGAATATTTTGAGCTTGATTTATCATGAAGGCCATCGAGATGGAACAGAAAATATGGAAATAATAGACAGAGTCCCAACTGGCTGGAGTATAACATACATAATATCGATAATGTCCATCGTCCATCACCTCGTCTCTTTACTACTCACCTGCCTTACTATTTAGTTCCAAGAGATCTGAGGAACAGGAGAGGAAAAGTAGGTGACACTATTTTTATAATTTAATCAACATTATCGAGGAAAACTTGTAGCTTTCACCAATAAATCAGTCTAAATCCTCTGGGCCAGACTGTCTGCCCTCCCCACAATCGCCCTTCCAAAAGCAAATCTCCCCTGGATGGAGATGGGGCTCACTTCCTCCAAAGCCCCATTCCATGTCCTTAGACCCAGCCAAAGGGGGGAAAACAAGTTCAATCAAGACCTCAGGACTTCAGTGTCCAGTTTCAGTGGAGATCCCATTTTTCATGGGACTGCTGTGCTTGACCTCTGGGCCAAGAAACGGAGCTGCTTCTTCCTCATCATGACAGCTCACCCTAAAAGGGGCATTATTGATGGGTTAGGATCATTACAGTTTGCATGTTATATTGTAAATTACAGTGGTTTTGTTGTTGTGATGTATGTAGCTATGTAACTGTAAGCTCTTATGCTATCCATGTTTTATGTCTCCTGCATCTTTAAACGTCAGGAAACTTTTGCTAATGATAGGGGGGGTGGACTGTGCCAGATGCAGCTCAAGAGGAAGGATCTCCCAGGGCCAGGGATTCACACTAAGCTCTCTCTCATGGAGATGGCTGCCCTGCCCTCCGTGTTGCTTTCCTTAATCTAAACGGAGAGTCATTCACACTGAAGGTGTGCAGTGCTGGCCTGCCGTAATTTGAGAGAAAGTGTGAGAACTGCCTTGTGGGAGTGATGCCAATCTCTTACACTGCTACCTGGATCTCCCATGAAAGGTGGCATGTGCCGTGCACCCACTTCCCCATGACACTCCCTTCACAGTCACCCTTGCAGCTTCCTTCTCTCTGTTGCAGTAACACCTATAATAAGATGAGCAGATGCATGGTGCAGAGCTTGCACTAAATGAGCTCCGTCACTGCAACCTCTCAATCCATAGGAACCTTCCTCCTGATTGGCTTTTTAGCTCAACCCCATTTCCCATGCAGAAAGACTCCTTAAAGTACAGGGATGGTAAAAGTAAATGGAACAACAGCATCTCCTAAGCTGCACAGAGCACAATTTTAAATACAGACATTGGGAAATCTTGTATTGCTTATGTGTATTTTACAGGGCTCACGTAGGTTTTCACAATTTTAAGACCATGTTGATGGTGCAGGGAGTTTTTCTCTTCATGGCTTCTGGCTGGCTGTTCTTACTGTGCACCACCATATGGCTCAGCTGTCTGTGTGGTTTTCCAGAAATTCTCAGCTCCAAATTGTTGGAGAAATTGGTTGTGCTGTTCAGCAATGCATTTTAGCATTACTTATTAAACATTGTATCCATTACAATTCTCTAAAAATATCTCCAGCTGCAATTTTTTTTGAAAGAGCAGTAAATTCATGCTTACTAGGATTCAAGTTTAAGGATATGTTTTTCACTGAAATACTTTAGTAATATACCAAACACAATACACACAAATAGATATCGGTTACTGATTTAGTAATGTTTGTATTAAAAAGGAACTCAAAATCAAATGAATTTATTCTAGTTGACATTCCTTTCAGATAGTACACTGCAACTGCACTCCCTGTTAATTTTTGTTATGTTACTGTCACATTTCCCATGATTTTTAAATGGTTTTGCTCCTCTCTTGCTGTGTGAAAGACCCATATAAATAACTGGACATAACTTGAAGACCTGATTCTAAGTACACTTACTCATGTGCTTAACCTTACAACAGTGAGTAATCCCCTTGAGGTCAATGGTATTCTCATATGTAGACAGTTATGTATGTGTATGACGGTCTTTACAATTAAGGAAGTGCAATAACGCCACTGAATGTACAGGAAATGCTGGCAAAGACACAAAAAATCCCATTCATTTAAAGCAGGATAAACTATTTACTAAAGTACTTATTTTAGCCCTTTTCAGATATAATGATTTTAATGTTACTTGCAGCAATAGCAATTTTATAAAACCACCGATTTGTAGGTTAATTGTGTCCCTTTAATCTACCTGAGACTGTCACTCTTTTTACCTTGCAGGTTATTTATGTAGCCAGAAATCCAAAGGACGTTGTGGTTTCCTATTTTCATTTTTCCAACTTTTCAGTCAAACTTGAGACAATACCAGATTTTAATATTTTTCTGGAGAGGTTTTTAGCTGGGAAAGGTAAGGTTTCAGTTACTGCTAAAAGGCTAAGTCCTGCTCGCCTGAGTAACCTATCTGTGGTTTCAGAGTATCAGCCATGTTAGTCTGTATCTGCAAAAAGAAAAGGAGGACTTGTGGCACCTTAGAGACTAACCAATTTATTTGAGCATAAGTTTTCATGAGCTACAGCTCACTTATGCTCAAATAAATTTGTTAGTCTCTAAGGTGCCACAAGTACTCCTTTTCTTCTATCTGAGTGGGTAAATTACTTAGACAGTGGAGCTGGTCAAAATCCTGGCCCACACCTCACTACCTGGGGTCTAAGGTTGCTATAAATGCAGTATCATTCACAGCTCACAATAGAGATTTTGAGCAAAGGTAGTCCAGGGGGGCTGTATAGGCACATGCACTGCACCAATAAAGTGCAAGTAGCCTCGTGTATCTCAACTGGGTGAGCGCTCTGAAACCTAACAATGAAGATTTCAACACATTTCAACTCCACTTATGTGCTCAGATAACACCTCTGATAACACCTCAGATAACACCACTGATAACACCTCAGATAATACCACTTATGTGCTCAGATAACACCTGCTGCCCAGCAGGAGATTATCTGCCCACAATAGAGATTTTGAGCAAAGGTAGTCCAGGGGGGCTGTATAGGCACATGCACTGCACCAATAAAGTGCAAGTAGCCTCGTGTATCTCAACTGGGTGAGCGCTCTGAAACCTAACAATGAAGATTTCAACACATTTCAACTCCACTTATGTGCTCAGATAACACCTCTGATAACACCTCAGATAACACCACTGATAACACCTCAGATAACACCACTTATGTGCTCAGATAACACCTGCTGCCCAGCAGGAGAGTGAATTTGTGTGGGGGGGTGGAGGGTGAGAAAACCTGGATTTGTGCTGGAAATGGCCCACCTGTTGATCACTTTAGATAAGCTATTACCAGCAGGACAGTGGGGTGGGAGGAGGTATTGTTTCATATTCTCTGTGTGTATATAAAGTCTGCTGCAGTTTCCACGGTATACATCTGATGAAGTGAGCTGTAGCTCACGAAAGCTAATGCTCAAATAAATTGGTTAGTCTCTAAGGTGCCACAAGTACTCCTTTTCTTTTTGTCAAAATGGTCTTTTTTTTTTTTTTCAAAACTGAAGATCTTCTTGTAATTTTTTGTGAAGATGATATTTTATTGCAATATCTATTCAAAACTAGGGTTTTAGTAAATAAAATATTTTAAGAATTAGTTTGATGTTTTCAATTAAGATATTGATGTGAAATCTTTGAAAAGTACAGAACTCTTCAAAATTTCAATTTTGTTTAGAAACTAGTGTTTTTCACTTTTCTACCAGCTCAGCTAGCTTTTGGCTCCTTAACAACTTCACCTAGATTAGCAGAAGTCAGGTTTAAACTACTTTGAGTGTCTATACATGGGTTTTTTCTGGTTGAACTCAATCCATTTTAAACTGATTTTAATCACACTTTCTAAACAAGGTCTGGAGTATCTGAGTGCACCTTTTAGCTAAATAGGTAGAGATGCAGCAGCATCCCCTCTGCTGACATCAGGAGGAAGCATGTTGATAGTACCAGCAAGGCTGATTAACAAAGTGAGAAAAGACCCTTCCCATTAAGAGGTCCAACTCCTGATATATATATTCATAGATTCCAAGGCCAGAAGGGACCATTGTGATCATCTTATCTGACCTCCTGTATAACACAGACCGCAGAACTTCCCCAAAATAATTTGTAGAGCAGATCTTTTAGAAAAATATCTAATCTTGATTTAAAAGTTGTCAGTGATGGAGAATCCACCATGACCCCCTGATATATAGTTTCAATGGTTAATTACCCTCACTGTTACAAATGTACACCTTATTTCCAGTCTGAATTTGTTTAGCTTCAGCTTCCAGCCCTTGGATTGTGTTATATTTTTCTTTGCTAGACTGAAGAGTCCATTAATAAAGATTTGTTCCCCATGTAGGTAATTGTAGACTGTAATCAAGTCACCTCTTAACCTTCTCTTCATTAAATTAAATAAGTACATAAGAACAACCATACTGGGTCAGACCACAGGTCAATCTAGCCCAGCGTCCTGTCTTCTGACAGTGCCTCATGCCAGGTGCCGCAGAGGGAATGTACAGAACAGGTAATCATCAAGTGATCCATTCCCTGTCACTCATTACCAGCTTCTCGCAAACAGAGGCTAGGGACACCGTCCCTGCCCATCCTGGCTAATAGCCATTGATACACTGAGCTCTTTGAGTCTGTCACTGGAAGGCATGTTTTCTAAAGCTTTAAACATTCTTGTGACTACTCACTGAACCCTCTCCAGTTTATCAACAGCCTTCTTGAATTGTGGACTCCAGAACTGGACACAACAGGGGTCCTTCTGCTTCCAAAATAGGTTGCCATAGACAGACCAAAATACCGATAGCCAGAAAATTCTGACAACCTTTGTCTTACATGGTGCTAGCAGTTGTAATCACAGTCACAGAAATGAGCCTTTTCTCTCTTCATTACACCATGAGGATGGGTTGGCTAATGAAGAAGGAATTTGCAGTGGCTTAACTTGCTACTTGCCTGCCAGTTTTTAATGCTGCTGTAGCCTCTTAGAGGGAATTAAAATCTTGCTTATGAAGTAGTGTAGTAAGACTGATGATCCCAAATAAGAAGCCAACTTTATTCTTTAGTGCTATATCCCTATACTCAGTTTCCCTTTCTTTAAGTATCCCATTACCCTTTACTCTATCGTTTTATTGAGTAAGTTCTTTTATTTTCCTTATTGGGAAACTATTACTTTGAAATAATGTTCATTTCAGGATCTCAGAGGCGCTGTGCTGAAAATCTGCAAATTCTTAGGAAAGCAGCTAAATGAAAAAGAGCTGGACACTGTTGTGGAAAATGCTACATTTGATAAAATGAAAACTGATCCCAGGGCAAACTATGAGTCCATGCTAGACGATCTCCTGGAACGAGGCAAAGGACATTTTCTTCGCAAAGGTAAGGCAGAAGCAGCCAAATCTAATAAATATTTAATTCTGCAGATCCTGGCATAGGACGTGTTGAAGCTCGCTGCCTCGGACTTCCAATCACAACTTTCTGTCCCCAGGAAACAATTGGCTTTGGGGCACTAGGACTGCTGAGTGAGGGTGCATCGCTGTGTGCATCAGGCACCATTTCTCACAGATTAAAAAAGAGAGCTGCATTCCTTTGCTTAATGCAGTGTCTTAAATGTTTGCTGAGCAAAGTAGTGCAGCTGTCTTTTGATCTGTGAGAAAACAGTGTCCATATATTTTAAAAATGAAAATGTTCAATAAGCTCTCGTGGAGGGTAACATTCATTTTGTGCCACTTGTAAAAGGGAAGGGTCATCTTCAAGAAATTAAAATGTGAACATTAGAGAAAACTGAAAGCATTTCTGTCTAGTGCTTCTGGGAAACTTCACACACGGTGAGTATCGGAACTGATTTTGTATCTACAGCTTCCAGGGGTTGTCATAAATATAAAGGGAAGAGTAAACACCTTTAAAATCCCTCCTGGCCAGAGGAAAAGTCCTCTCACCTTTAAAGGGTTAAGAAGCTAAAGGTAACCTCGCTGGCACCTGACCAAAATGACCAATGAGGAGACAAGATACTTTCAAATGCTGGGAGGAGGGAGAAAAACAAAGGGTCTGTGTCTGTCTGTATGATGCTTTTGCCTGGGACAGAACAGGAATGGAGTCTTAGAACTTAGTAAGTAATCTATCTAGATATGCGTTAGATTATGATTTCTTTAAATGGCTGAGAAATTAAGTTGTGCTGAATAGAATGAATATTCCTGTCTGTGTGTCTTTTTGTAACTTAAGGTTTTGCCTAGAGGGATTCTCTATGTTTTGAATCTAATTACCCTGTAAGGTATTTACCATCCTGATTTTACAGAGGTGATTCTTTTTACTGTTTCTTCTATTAAAATGTTTCTGTTGTGTCAAGGTTCCTTCCCCACTCTGAACTCTAGGGTACAGATGTGGGACCTGCATGAAAACCTCCTAAGCTTACTTTTACCAGCTTAGGTTAAAACTTCCCCAAGGTACAAACTATTTTACCCTTGGACTTCCACTGCCAGCACCAAACATTTATCTGGGTTTATTGGAAAAACGTTGTTTGGAAATGTCTTTCCCCCCAAAATCCTCCCAACCCTTGCACCCCACTTCCTGGGGAAAGTTTGGTAAGAATCCTCACCAATTTGCATAGGTGACCACAGACCCAAACCCTTGGATCTCAGAACAATGAAAAAAGCATTCAGTTCTTGAAAAGAAACATTTTAATAGAAGAAACAGTAAAAAGAATCACCTCTGTAAAATAAGGATGGTAAATACCTTACAGGGTAATTAGATTCAAAACATAGAGAATCCCTCTAGGCAAAACCTTAAGTTACAAAAAGACACACAGACAGGAATATTCATTCTATTCAGCACAACTTAATTTCTCAGCCATTTAAAGAAATCATAATCTAACGCATATCTAGATAGATTACTTACTAAATTCTAAGACTCCATTCCTGTTCTGTCCCCGGCAAAAGCATCATACAGACAGACACAGACCCTTTGTTTTTCTCCCTCCTCCCGGCTCTTGAAAGTATCTTGTCTCCTCATTGGTCATTTTGGTCAGGTGCCAGCGAGGTTACCTTTAGCTTCTTAACCCTTTAAAGGTGAGAGGATTTTTCCTCTGGCCAGGAGGGATTTTAAAGGTGTTTACCCTTCCCTTTATATTTATTACAGGGGTTATTTAGAGTATGAAATTAGCCAAAGAAATAAAATCTGTGGGACAATTCTTGTGGCTGAGAGGAGCCGGGTATTTTCCTGTTGTAGCCCTTTTATGGCAGAGTTATGAATAGATGTCTGGGGTTTGTGGTCTTCTGATACTGCTGATCAGGGCCAGATTAACCTTTTGTGGGCCCAGAGCCAAACATATTTGCGGGCCCCCATGTAGTCATTGTTATAGGCCCCTTCCACATGTGGGTCTGCTGTGGTGGTACCATTGGCACCATGGTATACCTGGTACTGAATCTCAGAGACATTTTTCATTTTGAACATGCACCTCTGCAAGAATATGTTTATTGCCATACACAGCTTTCTCAGACCCCACTTTTTCTTACTGAGCTGTACCCATCAGAGCCGGCTCCAGGCACCAGCTTTCCAAGCAGGTGCTTAGGGCGGCATTTAGAATGGGGCGGCAGTCAGTGTCCCGTGGCGGCAATTCAGCGATAGCTCTGCTGCTGTTGTGGCGGTGGCAATTCGGCGGCGACTGCTTGGGGCGGCAAAATTGGTAGAGCCGCCCCTGGTACCCAGGTGGGTTTACCAGTGTCCACAGTGAGCAGAACTTTCACAGTGAACACGGAAGCTCCCCATAGATTTATCTCCTTCTCATTCAGACATTCTATAGCCATGTCTCCAGTACCACCCTATTTCACCAGTCACTCTATGTGGTCCTGGCCTCAGCTCAATAAATTTCCACAGCCAGCAGATGCCTGATCAGTTCTGACAAATCCCTTGCCCAGCACCCTTCCTGCCATTTGAGCAAGCCACTTGCAAGCACCATTTCCCCAACCCTGGCTCAGTGAGCACCTAGCCCCTAGGTACCTGAAGTCACCAGCCTTCTTTCTCCCTCTTCTCCCATCTACATGCTATTCCACTATGTGGTCACCACCACCTCTCCCCATGCTTGTTTCCCTTCTATCTTGGACTTGCTCTCCAGCCAGCAGGTCCTATTCTCCTCCTGCAAGCCCGACCTGCTTCCTCTTTCCCTGCTCCTCTTGACATTTCTTTCCTACTGCTGACCTCTGCTCCTTGAGGTTAACTCCAGTTGTCTGCTCCTAGCTTAATGGCCCCCTATAGTCAGAGAGCCACCTGTAGCTTCTCTGGCTCCAGCCATGGGACCAATTGCCAGAGGCCAGCCTTAGACAGCTGCACCTACTAGCTGTGGGAGGAGTGGCAATTCCAAGGCTGAGCATGCTTGAACCTTGCAACAGCAGCACTAAGTACTCTGTCTCAATCCTGAGCACTGGCCCTAGGCAGCTGCAGACTCTGCAATAAAGTGCTTCCCTACTCTAGGCCATAGCTTTAAGTACCTGAGATGCCCATCAGCTGCAGCAGGGGCCCCCAATTCCCATGCACTCCTCAGCTAACACATAGTCATGCAGAAGGTGCAGCCTGGATGATTTTGGAGGCTGGGGCACCAGAAGGTTTGACATCCCTGTGCAGCAGCTCTGCAACAAGCTCACAATGCCACCCTCTGCTGTGGGACCGGGATCCTATGAAGACAGTGGAGTTATACTGGGTATAACCAGTTCCACCCAAAGCCTGTTGAAGTCCATGTGGGTCTTTTCATTGTCTTAATGTGCTGTGTATAGAAGCAAAGGACTTCATTCTAGACTCTAGGAGCACAGTGCATCCTAAAATTATGCTGCATTGGTTTACTAGTGTAAACAGGGGGGTCTCACATTACCTAGTGACTAATCAACACCTCCTGCAGCACGTAGCTGTTTCTGAGAGACTTCCCACCCAATTATTAAATGTAAACCTGCTTAGGTTCTGAAAATATCCGGTGGTATGGTTACAAAAGCAAGGCACTTCTGAATTCAGTAGGAATTTTCAATGTGCACAGAATGCAGGACTGGTTCCCGCATAGTTACAGAACTGCAGTAAAGTTCTGTTTGTGTGATTGGAGGATATCTGGATCCATACTGTAAGCAGGGCTGAATTAACCTTTTGCAGGCCCGGCATCAAACATATCTGTGGGCCCCCATGTGGGCAATGGAGCATGGCACGGGGAGGTCAGTCCCCAGAGCGAGGAGTCAGCCAGAGGTAATGGGGCATGGCATAAGAACATAAGAATGACCATACTGGGTCATACCAAAGGTCCATCCAGCCCAGTATCCTGTCTACTGACAGTGGCCAATGCCAGGTGCCCCAGAGGGAGTAAACCAAGTCATCTCTCTCCTGCCATCCATCTCCACCCTCTGACAAACAGAGGCTAGGGACACCATTCCTTACCCATCCTGGCTAATAGCCATTAATGGACTTAACCTCCAGGAATTTATCCAGTTCTCTTTTAAACCCTGTTATAGTCCTAGCCTTCATGGCATGGATTGGGCATGGCAGGGGTGGCCCTGCTCCGCCCAGTGAGAAGGCACTATTTACAAACCGGCAGTTGCCAGATGCACAGTGGTCTGCCCAGCCCTGTGCTGGCAGCATGCCCTTCTCCCTCGGGTGCAGGCCCATGCCACACCCCCTAGCTCTCCCCCACCCAACACCCCCCAAATCCTTAAGTCGTGTGCCCCCCAGCCCCACCCACAAATGCACAGTGCCCTGCACAACACCACTCCTGCCCACAGCCCCACCACAACTGCCCAGCACCCCCACAGAACCCCCACTCCCTAGTGCCCCAACACACACAGATTTTCCTCACCCCTTCACAGCCAAGCTCCCCGCCAGACTCCCCACAGACCCACTCCCCCAAGCCCCCACACATACCTGGCTGAGACTGGCCAGGCATCTGCACCAGTCCCAGGTGGCTCAGCTCCGAGGAGACAGGTGGGGCCCCACAGCTGGTGGGAAGCAGAGACTGCCCAGAGCGGGAGGTGCACTGGGGTCTGGCCAGGGGGCTGAGAGGAGCAGGGGGTGGAGAGGAGTCCTCGTCCAGCCAAGAGGAGCAAGTGGTGGGTGGGGGGAGCCAGCGGGGTCTCAGAGCAGGCCAGGACCCCTTCTGAGCATGGGCCCGGCTCCATGGATCCACTGGAGCCATTGTAAACCCGGAACTGACTGTAAGACTGTCCCACATCATGAGGAAAAGTTAAAGTGCCTTTGCTGTTCTTTTGTTCCACTCTTAGGATATGTCTACACAGCCAGTTTTAAAGTGCTCCCAATAATGACAGTAATGGCAGAAAATGACAGTAATATTGCACTGGCAAGTTCCCCATAGGAACTAAGGCCTTGTCTACATTGACACTTTACAGTGCTGAAACTTGCATCACTCTGTGGTGTGTTTTTTCACAGCCTGGAGTGAAGAAAATTTCAGTACTGTACGTGTCAATGTAGACAAGGCCTTAGTTCCAGTGGGGAACTTGACAATGCAATGTTACTGTCATTTTCTTTTTAAACAAACAAAACAAAACAAAAATACAACCACCCAGGAATGGTTGTTGAAAATAGCAATTCCAGTCCTAGTTAGCAGGGAAGATGCTAGCATTAGTTGCTCAATTTGATCCTACTTTTTCAACAGCAAGTTACAGTGGATCAGCATTTGATTTGGGAGAAATGAAATAATAGAGAGCAGCCCAAACTGAACTTGAGCACTCCTGAATTTTGAGAATGTTCAGATCTGTAAGGCAGGTTCTAGATTCCCTTTCTGAATATTAGATAAATCTGGAACGGAAAAGTCAATTTCTGTTCCCATGACTCAGATCCTCCTGCATACCTGGAACTATACCTAAAGTTGCCCAGGTACTCTAGTAGAGCCTTCCCTCCCTTACCTATCATTCTAACTTCTCCTGATGGGGGTCCACATACCTCCCTTGCTAGGCTTCAGATAGAGGTGCACTGTCCATTCATTCCATCTAATTCCTTCTTTGGGAGCTGCCAGCAGAGTCATCCCTAAGCCAGTCTGGGGAAGTCTTCTGAGGACGATATCTGGGCCAAAGCCTTCTACTCCTTGGGCATACATGTTCCCCATTCACAGTGCCACCCCCTTCTAGCAGCCAGCTCCCCATTCACAGCAAGCCTGGTGTACAACAGGTCTCACCAACCCTGGCAGCTTCCCCCTCCCTTTCTCATTGATAGTTGCCAACAGAACGCTGGAAAATTTAGTTCCTTCCCTGCTGCAGGGCTGGCTCTCCAGCCAGGGAGCTGGCCAAGGAACTACAGCTCCCAGGTTCCTTGGGCTCTCGGCTTCTGGGCTGGATCCTTGCACCTGCGGGCAGAGGGTGAGAGCTGGAGCGTTGTTGCCTGTCTCTAGGTGCAGTGTGGGGGTTAAACTGTACCAGGGCCCTGATACATTGTATCATATCCCGGGGAAGGGGGCTGTCTGTCTGTCTGTCTGCCTCAGGGGCTGGCTAGGCCTGAAGGGGACGGGGTAGGTGTTCTCTGGGGCTGGAGGCTGGGCGCTGTGGTAACCAGGATGCTGCTCCTCGATCTCGGGGCCCCTCGCAGCACTGTGCTAGGGGAGGAAGCAGGTGTTATGGGCCCCTTCTGAGCATGGGACTGGCACCAGGGAGCCAGTGGCACCATGGTAAACCCGGTACTGCTGCTGAATAGGAGGGGGACCCAGCTGGATGGTAGTGGGCACTGTGGTACGGAAAAGGTGGAGAACGACTGCAAACTGTTAAGTACAGCATTGCCTGAAAAGAATGTTCAGAGAAGCTCATATTTCTCTTAACAGTAACTATTTCCTGTTGCCAATTTTTCTTCTAAAATTTGCAATGAAGTAAATCAGTACAGGAAGATAACGGTGATGTATAAATCCACTGGTGCCTAAAACAGAATTAGTGACATTGTCTAGAAATACTGGGTCAAATTAGTTACACTGCAGTCAAAGTTAGACCGAGGATGAATCTGGGCCATTATGGTTTTCCTAGGGGCATGGCTGCATTCCACAAAACGCAATCACAGTTTTTGCCAGTGGCATGTGTTTTATCAGAGGGGCAGCATTCTCTGATAAGGCTTCTGACATCTGTAACATGCAAGTCACATTAATAATACATTTGCCCAGCTAATCAAATGGACACTAATGGGTACATTTCTAATGCCAGGAAGGATAGAGGAGATGTACACCTCCATATAACAAAACAGAAACATATTTTTTTATTGTATTTGACCCACACCTTCAAGACTAGAAATGTACCACCAAAGCCCTAGAGAGCTATGTTCTGGGGAGATGAGAGAGGAAGGAACTGAGAAGAAAAGGAACTGTACCCAATTAGCAGCATTCACAGCCTCTTACGCGCACAAGCGATATTCAAATTATAATCAAATGCCCAAGTGGCAGCAGAGTATCTAACTACCAATTCCTCTTCTGTGTCTCCTGCTCTAGGGACCGTTGGAGACTGGAAGAACACAATGACTGTGGCACAGAGCGAAAGGTTTGACAATGTTTTTAAGGAGAAAATGAAAGACCTGTCTTCCAAGTTCACCTAGGATATTAATGACGACATATAGGCTGGTTTCCAGCTGGAAAGAGGTGAAAGTGCACTAAAGAGAATGAAAATACATTTGTCTCCGGTATTCATGAAAATCCATCATTCTGTGCACATTAAAGATTTTAAACCTGCAATTTTTTTTCCTTCTTACACGTATTCGCACATCACCGTAGTACCCCAGTTCTAAGATATGAAAAGGTGTTACAGACTGTCATGTTCTGGGGTGCAATCCAGGCCAGTCAGGAGTTGTGTCCCCACATGACCTATAAACCTGGGTGCCTTAATTGCCCTGAGGCTGTGGTTGACAGCCTGGACACCAACAGCCAGCAGACAAACATGCAGTATCCTGAGTGTCTGCTCTGCAGCCCTGGTTCAGTGCTCTGACCCTAGCTGCCTGCCTACAACACAACAGCCCCACTCTAGTCTCAGTCACCCAATTACCTCATGCAGAGGTAACACAAACACACTCCCAGTCCTGAATTTTCCCCAAACTGCATGTTTTCCAATATCTAGCCCTTTCCTGGACCATTCAGAGAGATATTAAGGTTCATTTGTTCCTTTAAAGATATACTACCCAGCAGCTGACCACATTAACTGGAGTTGATATTCACTTTAAATCAAACACAGTCATGGGCTGATTTGGATTAAAAGTAAAGCAAGTTTATTAACCAAAGGAGTTTGGATTTTAAGTAAGTTCAAGTTCAAAGGAGAGAATTAGAAATGGTTATAAGCAAATAAAAATGAAAAACACTTTCTAGAGACTAAGACTTAAGAAAACAACCTGCAGCCTCTCTTCGGGATAAGATTCTTACAACACTACCTTCCAGAAAGATGGCTGACCACACTTCAGGTCAGGATCTCCCACAAAGTCCAATGTGCTTGGTTCCTTTGCCTTCTTACATGAAACATAACTTTGGGTTCTTTGCTCCTTTCTTTATAAACCAGTGTACCTTTAATATGAATTGTTTTGAAGGTTACCCCTCAACGTAAGTCATACAGTTTATTCAAACTATGAGGAAGGTAATATAGAGTCTCCTGATGAAGGAAATTCCATGCTGATTTCTTCCCCTGCTGGTGTTTGCAAAATGATCTATTGCATGCAATCTTCTGCTGCTGTAATGCTGTGTGGTTATCTTCTCCCTTTGTTGGTTTGATGGTCCTGTTTACCTTCTGTGTAAATTGCATTCCCATTGTCTCTTAATGGACCTTCTGGGTGGCAGAACCACATTCCTTTCTCTAGGGTGGGGTAGCTTCAGCCCTGCACTGCCTGGGAGACCCATTTTGGTAACATAATTTCCAAAGTGTTTGTAATTTTGAATTTGTCCTCTCTATCCACATCACACAATTATATTATTGATCAGTATATCTGATGGGGTGTACCAATGCCGCACTGGCCCACCAATGGTTAATTATTCACTTTGGGCCCGGGAGGCCACCTCTTGTCCTTGCTGGGCATGCTCCAAGTGAAAGCAATATATAAAAGGGAGCAGCTCAGTTCAGTCAGGGCTGGCTGACAGAGGAGAGTGGATGCATGTTACAGGGTCCTGTCAGGAATCCAATCGAGCCCCAGGACTATGGAGGCTGGGCACCTGCAGAGGATGAGGGAGATGGAAAGCCACTTGCTCTGGAAGAGCTGCAGGATCCAGAATCAATGGTAGATAGGAAGCAACCCAGAGAACACGTCTCTTGAGAGAGACCCCAGTGCCCCTTATCTTGGGGTGCTGCCCCACAGTAGTGCCCCCACACTCTCGGTCTCTACTCCCGGGGAACCCCGACTGCCTATACCCTATGCCTCAGTGGATACTGCCATTCATCATCTAGCCCAGGGATCGGCAACCTTTGCACATGGCCCGTCAGGGAAAGCCGCTGGTGGGCTGGGATGGTTTGTTTATCTGCAGTGTCCGCAGGTTCAGCCGACCGCAACTCCCACTGGCCGCAGTTCACCGCTCCATGCCAATGGGGGCTGCAGGAAGCAGCGGCCAGCACATCCCTCGGCCCACACCGCTTCCCGCAGCTCCCATTGGCCTGCAACGGCAAACCGGGGCCAGTGGGAGCTGCATTGCTGCACACCTCGGGCAATTCCTTCAACAAGGAGGGCAATTCCTCGGGCAATTCCTCCAACATTTGGAGCTGAGAATTTCTGGGAAACCACACAGACAGTTAAGCCATGCAATGGTGCACACTCAGAACAGCCAGCAACAAGGCATGAAAAGAAAAACTTCCCTACACTAATGTTTCTCAACAACCAGTCCGTGGCAGCCTCCTTGCCAGTCCCTGAGATTTCTCTGACACAGAATATTAAAAATGTACCTGTAAAGTGGTTTTTTTTGTACTTGCATTTTACATCACTGTATTAATTATTTCAGAAATTTTGAAGAGTTCTGTATTTTTCAAAGATTTGAACTAGATATCTACTGAAAACATCAAAATAGCTATTAAAACATTTTATTTGCTGAAAACCTAGTTTTTAATTAATGAAAAACATCAATAGAAATTGCAATCAAATGTCATTTTTCACAAAAAGTTACAAAATGACCTTCAGTTTTATAAAAAATGTCATTTTGATTAAAAAAAATCTTTAATTCTAAAAGCAGTTTAAGACGCTCTAATATGTAGCTAAAATTCTCCTTTCCCTTTAAGATGCCTCGTGGGATGGGTTGTGTAGCTGCCAAACGGCTGTGCAGAAAAGGAAATGAAATAAAGCAAGATTATTATCTTTTCTCTCTGTGCTCAGATCCAGCAGATATTCTTCACTAGGAAGCAAATGACACCTGTTGTGACTAAGTGAATTATGCTCCTATGTGCTATTGAATCTCAATAGGAGTTAAAAGAAAAGGAGTACTTGTGGCACCTTAGAGACTAACAAATTTATTTGAGCATAAGCTTTCGTGAGCTACAGCTCACTTCATCGGATGCATTCAGTGGAAAATACAGTGGGGAAATTTATGTACACAGAGAACATGAAACAATGGGTGTTACCATACACACTGTAAGGAGAGTGATCACTTAAGGTGAGCTATTACCAGCAGGAGAGCGGGGCTGGGGGGGGGGAACCTTTTGTAGTGATAATCAAGGTGGGCCATTTCCAGCAGTTGACAAGAACGTCTGAGGAACAGTGAGGGGGCGGGGGGGGGGGTGGAATAAACATGGGGAAATAGTTTTCCTTTGTGTAATGACACATCCACTCCCAGTCTCTATTCAAGCCTAAGTTAATTGTATCCAGTTTTCAAATTAATTCCAATTCAGCAGTCTCTCGTTGGAGTCTGTTTCTGAAGTTTTTTTGTTGAAGAATTGCAACTTTTAGGTCTGTAATCGAGTGACCAAAGAGATTGAAGTGTTCTCCGACTGGTTTTTGAATGTTATAATTCTTGACATCTGATTTGTGTCCATTTATTCTTTTACATAGAGACTGTCCAGTTTGACCAATGCACATGGCAGAGGGGCATTGCTGGCACATGATGGCATATATCACATTCGTAGATGTGCAGGTGAACGAGCCTCTGATAGCGTGGCTGATGTGATTAGGCCCTATGATGGTGTCCCCTGAATAGATATGTGGGCACAGTTGGCAACGGGCTTTGTTGCAAGGATAAGTTCCTGGGTTAGTGGTTCTGTTGTGTGGTGTGTGGTTGCTGGTGAGTATTTGCTTCAGGTTGGGGGTCTGTCTGTAAGCAAGGACTGGCCTGTCTCCCAAGATCTGTGAGAGTGATGGGTCGTCCTTCAGGATAGGTTGTAGATCCTTGATGATGCATTGGAGAGGTTTTAGTTGGGAGCTGAAGGTGATGGCTAGTGGCGTTCTGTTATTTTCTTTGTTGGGCCTGTCCTGTAGTAGGTGACTTCTGAGTACTCTTCTGGCTCTGTCAATCTGTTTCTTCACTTCAGCAGGTGGGTATTGTAGTTGTAAGAATGCTTGATAGAGGTGTTTGTCTGAGGGGTTGGAGCAAATGCGGTTGTATCGTAGAGCTTGGCTGTAGACGATGGATCGTGTGGTGTGGTCTGGATGAAAGTTGGAGGCATGTAGGTAGGAATAGCAGTCAGTAGGTTTCCGGTATAGGGTGGTGTTTATGTGACCCTCGTTTATTAGCACTGTAGCGTCCAGGAAGTGGATCTCGTGTGGACTGGTCCAGGCTGAGGCTGACGTTGGGATGGAAATTGTTGAAATCGTGGTGGAATTCCTCAAGGGCTTCTTTTCCATGGGTCCAGATGATGAAGATGTCATCAATGTAGCGCAAGTAGAGTAGGGGCACTAGGGGACGAGAGCTGAGGAAGCGTTGTTCTAAGTCAGCCATAAAAATGTTGGCGTACTGTGGGCCATGCAGGTACCCATAGCAGTGCCGCTGATTTGAAGGTATGCATTGTCCACAAATGTGAAATAGTTATGGGTGAGGACAAAGTCACAAAGTTCAGCCACCAGGTTTGCCGTGACATTATCGGGGATACTGTTCCTGATGGCTTGTAGTCCATCTTTGTGTGGAATGTTGGTGTAGAGGGCTTCTACATCCATAGTGGCCAGGATGATGTTTTCAGGAAGATCACCAATGGATTGTAGTTTCCTCAGGAAGTCAGTGGTGTCTCGAAGATAGCTGGGAGTGCTGGTAGCGAAGGGCCTGAGGAGGGAGTCTATATAGCCAGACAATCCTGCTGTCAGGGTGCCAATGCCTGAGATGATGGGGCGTCCAGGATTTCCAGGTTTATGGATCTTCGGTAGCAGATAGAATACCCCAGGTCGGGGTTCCAGGGGTGTGTCTGTGCGGATTTGTTCTTGTGCTTTTTCAGGGAGTTTCTTGAGCAAATGCTGTAGTTTCTTTTGGTAACCCTCAGTGGGATCAGAGGGTAATGGCTTGTACAAAGTGGTGTTGGAGAGCTGCCTAGCAGCCTCTTGTTCATATTCCGACCTATTCATGATGACGACAGCACCTCCTTTGTCAGCCTTTTTGATTATGATGTCAGAGTTGTTTCTGAGGCTGTGGATGGCATTGTGTTCTGCACAGCTGAGGTTATGGGGCAAGTGATGCTGCTTTTCCACAACTTCAGCCCGTGCACGTCGGCGGAAGCACTCTATGTAGAAGTCTAGTCTGTTGTTTCAACCTTCAGGAGGAGTCCACCCAGAATCCTTCTTTTTGTAGTCTTGGTAGGAAGATCTCTGTGGGTTAGTATGTTGTTCAGAGGTGTGTTGGAAATATTCCTTGAGTCAGAGACGTCGAAAATAGGATTCTAGGTCACCACAGAACTGTATCATGTTCGTGGGGGTTGAGGGGCAGAAGGAGAGGCCCCGAGATAGGACAGATTCTTCTGCTGGGCTAAGAGTATAGTTGAATAGATTAACAATATTGCTGGGTGGGTTAAAGGAACCACTGTTGTGGCCCCTTGTGGCATGTAGTAGTTTAGAAAGTTTAGAGTCCTTTTTCTTTTGTAGAGAAGCAAAGTGTGTGTTGTAAATGGCTTGTCTAGTTTTTGTAAAGTCCAGCCACAAGGAAGTTTGTGTGGAAAGTTGTTTTTTATGAGAGTATCCAGTTTTGAGAGCTCATTCTTAATCTTTCCCTGTTTGCTGTAGAGGATGTTGATCAGGTGGTTCCGCAGTTTCTTTGAGTGTGTGTGGCACAAGCTGTCAGCATAGTCTGTGTGGTATGTAGTTAAGTTAAGTGGCTAGCCTACTTTGGTGCTTTGGAACATCTCACCCTATGGTTCTGATTCTTCCACCCTTACTCACACTGAGAAGTACTTTTTCAAGTACTCATATTGAAATCAATGAGACCAATCTACCTTACTCTGTGAAATCAACGAGACTCCTCACAGAGTAAAGTACAGCTCAATGTGAGTAAGGGCGGCAAAATCAGACTGAAAATGGCGGCATTTTAGTTACCTTTTATTTTAGAAATAAAGTGACTGACTAGCCTCACCTTAATCTCCGCATAGGTAAGGAAGAGAACTTTGAAGTCATCCCTGTGGGTGTACCAGCCTCTGACGTGATCCAACCATTAGTTAGCAAAAACTTGTGAGGAAGAAAATTTATAGAAATAAATGTTAATGATCTCAGACAGAAAAAATGTTCAGTTATTGACATTTTTGCATCCTAATACTCTCATAAGGATGGCTTCAGAACCAATGGAGCAGACTTCCTTTTTTTCAGCTTCTCTTCCCTCTGCTGTTGGGGAAGCTCCATAGATTTTATTCCAGTTCCTGTTTTTATTCAGTGTTTATCAGTGACCTGTTCGTGGACTGGTGCCAGTCCATGGCAGCCTCCTTGCCAGTCCCTGAGATTTCCCTGACACAGAATATTAATATTTAAAATGTAAAGTTTTGTTTGTACTTGCATTTTACATCACTGTATTCTTTCAAGTATTTCTGAACATTAAAAAGTAATAAGTAAATAAACTGTCTGGGTTGACATCAGTTGCCATGGTGCTGATATGCAAAGCACGTTCACATGCATTTGTTGGAAGGAAGTCAACAGAAAGCAGTGAGCAAAATGTAAGTTCTAGTACAACTTTTACTTAGCTAAACCACACAATGTCATTGTCAAAGCAGTTACCTCTGGACTGATTTTTCAGAACTAAACAATGTCCTTGGTGCATTGATTAAAATTATGAATTTTGTGAAAGCAAATGGAGTCAACTCTCATCTCTTTGCTACAATGTGTGAAGAAGTGGAGTCTAAACACCATCACTTACTCTTACACACTGAAGTGTGGTGGTTATTGTTAGCCCTGGTCTACACTAGGACTTTAGGTCGAATTTAGCAGCGTTAAATCGATGTAAACCTGCACCCGTCCACACAATGAAGCCCTTTATTTCGACTTAAAGGGCTCTTAAAATCGATTTCCTTACTCCACCCCTGACAAGTGGATTAGCGCTTAAATCGACGTTGCCGGCTCGAATTTGGGGTACTGTGGACACAATTCGATGGTATTGGCCTCCGGGAGCTATCCCAGAGTGCTCCATTGTGACCGCTCTGGACAGCACTCTCAACTCAGATGCACTGGCCAGGTAGACAGGAAAAGAACCGCGAACTTTTGAATCTCATTTCCTGTTTGGCCAGCGTGGCAAGCTGCAGGTGACCATGCAGAGCTCATCAGCACAGGTGACCATGATGGAGTCCCAGAATCGCAAAAGAGCTCCAGCATGGACCGAACGGGAGGTACAGGGATCTGATCGCTGTTTGGGGAGAGGAATCCGTGCTATCAGAACTCCGTTCCAGTTTTCGAAATGCCAAAACCTTTGTGAAAATCTCCCAGGGCATGAAGGACAGAGGCCATAACAGGGACCCGAAGCAGTGCCGCGTGAAACTGAAGGAGCTGAGGCAAGCCTACCAGAAAACCAGAGAGGCGAACAGCCGCTCTGGGTCAGAGCCCCAAACATGCCGCTTCTATGATGAGCTGCATGCCATTTTAGGGGGTTCAGCCACCACTACCCCAGCCGTGTTGTTTGACTCCTTCAATGGAGATGGAGGCAATACGGAAGCAGGTTTTGGGGACGAAGAAGATGAGGAGGAGGAGGAGGTTGTAGATAGCTCACAGCAAGCAAGCGGAGAAACCGGTTTTCCCGACAGCCAGGAACTGTTTCTCACCCTAGACCTGGAGCCAGTACCCCCCGAACCCACCCAAGGCTGCCTCCTGGACCCAGCAGGCGGAGAAGGGACCTCTGGTGAGTGTACCTTTTAAAATACTATACATGGTTTAAAAGCAAGCATATGAAAGGATTGCTTTGCCCTGGCATTTGCGGTTCTCCTAGATGTAGTCCTAAAGCCTTTGCAAAAGGTTTCTGGGGAGGGCAGCCTTATTGCGTCCTTCATGGTAGGACACTTTACCACTCCAGGCCAGTAACACGTACTCAGGAATCATTGTAGAACAAAGCATTGCAGTGTATGTTTGCTGGCATTCAAACAACATCCGTTCTTTATCTCTCTGTGTTATCCTCAGGAGAGTGAGATATAATTCATGGTCACCTGGTTGAAATAGAGTGCTTTTCTTCAGGGGACACTCAGAGGAGCCAATTCCTGCTGGGCTGTTTGCCTGTGGCTAAACAGAAATGTTCCCCGCTGTTAGCCACAGGGAGGGGGGAAGGTTGAGGGGGTAGTCACGCGGTGGGAGGAGGCAAAATGCGACCTTGTAACGAAAGCACATGTGCTATGTATGTAATGTTAACAGCAAGGTTTACCCTGAAAGACTGTAGCCACTGTTTTATAAAATGTGTCTTTTTAAATACCGCTGTCCCTTTTTTTTTCTCCACCAGCTGCATGTGTTTCAATGATCACAGGATCTTCTCCTTCCCAGAGGCTAGTGAAGCTTAGAAAGAAAAAAAAAACGCACTCGCGATGAAATGTTCTCCGAGCTCATGCTGTCCTCCCACACTGACAGAGCACAGACGAATGCGTGGAGGCAAATAATGTCAGAGTGCAGGAAAGCACAAAATGACCGGGAGGAGAGGTGGCGGGCTGAAGAGAGTAAGTGGCGGGCTGAAGACAGGGCTGAAGCTCAAATGTGGCTTCAGCGTGATAAGAGGAGGCAGGATTCAATGCTGACGCTGCTGCAGGACCAAACCAGTATGCTCCAGTGTATGGTTGAGCTGCAGCAAAGGCAGCTGGAGCACAGACTGCCACTGCAGCCCCTCTGTAACCAACCGCCCTCCTCCCCAAGCTCCATAGCCTCCACACCCAGACGCCCAAGAATGCGGTGGGGGGGCCTCCTGGCCAACCAGCCACTCCACCACAGAGGATTGCCCAAAAAAAAGAAGGCTGTCATTCAATAAATTTTAAAGTTGTAAACTTTTAAAGTGCTGTGCTTAAAGTGCTGTGTGGCATTTTCCTTCCCTCCTCCACCACCCCTCCTGGGCTACCTTGGTAGTCATCCCCCTATTTGTGTGATGAATGAATAAAGAATGCATGAATGTGAAGCAACAATGACTTTATTGCCTCTGCAAGCGGTGATTGAAGGGAGGAGGGGCGGGTGGTTAGCTTACAGGGAAGTAGAGTGAACCAAGGGGCGGGGGTTTCATCAAGGAGAAACAAACAGAACTTTCACACCGTAGCCTGGCCAGTCATGAAACTGGTTTTCAAAGCTTCTCTGATGCGTACCGCGCCCTCCTGTGCTCTTCTAACCGCCCTGGTGTCTGGCTGTGCGTAACCAGCAGCCAGACGATTTGCCTCAACCTCCCACCCCGCCATAAACGTCTCCCCCTTACTCTCACAGATATTGTGGAGCACACAGCAAGCAGTAATAACAGTGGGAATATTGGTTTCGCTGAGGTCTAAGCGAGTCAGTAAACTGCGCCAGCGCGCCTTTAAACGTCCAAATGCACATTCTACCTCCATTCTGCACTTGCTCAGCCTGTAGTTGAACAGCTCCTGACTACTGTCCAGGCTGCCTGTGTACGGCTTCATGAGCCATGGCATTAAGGGGTAGGCTGGGTCCCCAAGGATACATATAGGCATTTCAACATCCCCAACAGTTATTTTCTGGTCTGGGAATAAAGTCCCTTCCTGCAGCTTTTGAAACAGACCAGAGTTCCTGAAGATGCGAGCATCATGCACCTTTCCCGGCCATCCCACGTTAATGTTGGTGAAACGTCCCTTGTGATCCACCAGAGCTTGCAGCACTATCGAAAAGTACCCCTTGCGGTTTATGTACTCGGCGGCTTGGTGCTCCGGTGCCAAGATAGGGATATGGGTTCCGTCTATCGCCCCACCACAGTTAGGGAATCCCATTGCAGCAAAGCCATCCACTATGACCTGCACATTTCCCAGGGTCACTACCCTTGATATCAGCAGATCTTTGATTGCGTGGGCTACTTGCATCACAGCAGCCCCCCACAGTAGATTTGCCCACTCCAAATTGATTCCCAACTGACCGGTAGCTGTCTGGCGTTGCAAGCTTCCACAGGGCTATCGCCACTCGCTTCTCAACTGTGAGGGCTGCTCTCATCTTGGTATTCATGCACTTCAGGGCAGGGGAAAGCAAGTCACAAAGTTCCATGAAAGTGCCCTTACGCATGCGAAAGTTTCGCAGCCACTGGGAATCGTCCCAGACCTGCAACACTATGCGGTCCCACCAGTCTGTGCTTGTTTCCCGAGCCCAGAATCGGCGTTCCACAGCATGAACCTGCCCCATTAGCACCATGATGCATGCATTGGCAGGGCCCATGCTTTCAGAGAAATCTGTGTCCATGTCCTGATCACTCACGTGACCGCGCTGACGTCGCCTCCTCGCCCGGTATCGCTTTGCCAGGTTCTGGTGCTGCATATACTGCTGGATAATGCGTGTGGTGTTTAATGTGCTCCTAATTGCCAAAGTGAGCTGAGCGGCCTCCATGCTTGCCTTGGTATGGCGTCCGCACAGAAAAAAGGCGCAGAACGATTGTCTGCCGTTGCTCTGATGGAGGGAGGGGCGACTGACGACACGGCTTACAGGGTTGGCTTCAGGGAGCTAAAATCAACAAAGGGGGTGCCTGTACATCAAGGAGTATTTCAGGCAGGACTTCACGGAGGGTTCCAATAAGAAATGGTGCACCTAAGTTATTGTTCTTATTGGAACAAGGAGGTTAGCCTGGCCTCTGACTGATACATGGCTAGATTTACCTCGCTGCACCTTCTCTGTGAGTGACTGCAGTGTGACCTAGAGGAATGAGTCCCCTAGACAGGGGAGGAGGCAAATGAGTACAAAACAAATCTGGTCTATTTCTTGTTTTGACCCACTCCATCTATCTTTTACATCTTTGGCTGGCAGCAGACGGTGCAGAAGGACTGCATGCCATCCACATCTCATGGCTGCTCGGCAGAAGATGGTACAGTACGACTGCTAGCCATCCCCATCTCTTGCCTGCCTGGCAGAAGATGGTACAATACGACTGCTAGCAATCCTCATCTCTTGCCTGCCTGGCAGAAGATGGTACAGTACGACTGCTAGCAGTCCGTATCGCCTGCCCGCTCACCATAAGACGGTTCAATAGGACTGACTGCAGGCAGGACTAAAGAGAATGACCTGGTCAAGTCACTCCAAATTTAGTCCCTGCGCCCATGTCTGTCCAGGCGCTCCCAGCCGACGTGGCCAGGAGCACCTCGGACACGACGAGGACGACTACCAATCATATTGCACCGTCTGCTGCCAGAAGGCAATGGGTTGCTGCTACTGTGCAGCAAAGCCGTACCGTGTCTGCCAGCACACAGGAGACATAGGGTGACGGTTACCTGAGCGGGCTCCATGCTTGCCGTGGTATGGCGTCTGCACAGGTAACTCAGGAAAAAAGGCGCGAAATGATTGTCTGCCCTTGCTTTCACGGAGGGAGGGAGGGAACGGGGGCCTGACGATACGTACCCAGAACCACCCGCGACAATGTTTTAGCCCCATCAGAGTGCTCCATTGTGACTGCTCTGGACAGCACTCTCAGATGCCCGATTGTTTGCCGTTGCTCTGACACCGGGAGGGGCGCTTACAGGGTTGGCTTCAGGGAGCTAAAATCAACAAAGGGGGTGGCTTCACATCTAGGAGTATTTCAGGCAGGACTTCACGGAGGGTTCCAATAAGAAATGGTGCACCTAAGTTATTGTCCTTATTGGAACAAGAAGGTTAGCCTGGCCTCTGATTGATACATGGCTAGATTTACCTCGCTGCACCTTCTCTGTGAGTGACTGCAGTGTGATCTAGAAGAATGAGTCCCCTAGACAGGGGAGGGGGGAAGCAAATGAGTACAAAACAAATCTGGTCTATTTCTTGTTTTGATCCACTCCATCTATCTTTTACATCTTTGGCTGGCAGCAGACGGTGCAGAAGGACTGCATGCCATCCACATCTCATGGCTGCTCGGCAGAAGATGGTACAGTACGACTGCTAGCAGTCCATATCGCCTGCCCGCTCACCATAAGACGGTTCAATAGGACTGACTGCAGGCAGGACTAAAGAGAATGACCTGGTCAAGTCACTCCAAATTTAGTCCCTGCACCCATGTCTGCCCAGGCGCTCCCAGCTGACGTGGCCAGGAGCACCTCGGACATGACGATGACGGCTACCAGTCGTACTGTACCGTCTGCTGCCACAAGGCAAGGGGTTGCTGCTACTGTGTAGCAATGCTGTACCGCGTCTGCCAGCACCCAGGAGACATAGGGTGACGGTTACCTGAGCGGGCTCCATGCTTGCCGTGGTATGGCGTCTGCACAGGTAACTCAGGAAAAAAGGCGCGAAATGATTGTCTGCCCTTGCTTTCACGGAGGGAGGGAGGGAACGGGGGCCTGACGATATGTACCCAGAACCACCTGCGACAATGTTTTAGCCCCATCAGGCATTGGGATCTTAACCCAGAATTCCAATGGGCAGCGGAGACTGCGGGAACTGTGGGATAGCTACCCACAGTGCAACGCTCCGGAAGTCGACTCTAGCCTCGGTACTGTGGAAGCGCTCCGCCGAGTTAATGCACTTAATGCACTTAGAGCATTTTCTGTGGGGACACACACACTCGAATATATAAAACCGATTTCTAAAAAACCGACTTCTATAAATTCGACCTTATTCCGTAGTGTAGACATACCCTTAGAGAGCTTATTCCTTCACTCTCCCACTTCCCTGGTCCTTCTCACATGAACAGAGAGCAACAATACCCGAAGTCCGAAGGTGCAAACAATTTGATGTTTATTGGGGTGAACTTCCAGCAAGCTTAAATCAAAGTTCCTTTTTCCTTATTTTCGAATCCCAACTTACTTCCTGTTTGCCCCTAATTTATATAGTAATATTCTTAGCTATACCTTAACCAATCATTCTACTGAAATTTAACTAACCAATCCTAACATATTGTAACATGATTAGCTAACCAATTATATCCCACCACCTTAAATAGTTTACACCCAGCAAAATTAATTATACAGCAGACAGAAACAATCAAAGAACCAGACAGAGACCATGCCGATAAACAATAGCAAAGTGGGAACTATGATGACAAAACAATACAGAAGTGAGGATATCACAACTACATCGATAAAGACATAAGGGTTTCCCAGCTGTGTCTATTGATAAGTGAATTCTTACCAGACAGAAAACTATCAACATAAATTTCCTTTTACATCTTCTAGGCTCTTCCCTTTCTCTGGAGGTGATAGATCGGATCACCTTTCTAACAGCCCCAGATTGACTAGTTTGGAATGTGAGGATGTGACCATTCGCTTCCCAGCTTATGGCTGCCTCTGCTGCTTAGCCAAAGGCTTTGGCCTAAGAACAGGGCCTCAGACTGTCACAGTGAGAGAAAGCCCTTACACAGATTCTTTCTTGTATACCTCTGTTACTAGCTAAATAATAAACATATACCTACATTCTTAGAGTATAGGCCTTTACAGACAGGCCTGAATATCTATATCCTAACAGTTATCCCGTGGCAAAGTATTAAACTGAATGTATGAACTGTGACATGAATCTTTCTGTTTCAAAATAAGCCCCTCTGGCAGCATGCATTCAGGATTTTAAATGGCTTACCAAACTTGCATATTTGGCAGATATATTT